TGCGGCGCTGCCCGCGCGCTGCAGCGGTGCCGTCCCCCGTGCAGTGTACCACGCCATTTACCTGGAGGAGCTGACGGCGCTCGAGCTCACGGAGAAGCTGGCCCAGCTCTTCAGCATCTCCTCCCGCCAGATCAGCCAGATTTACAAGCAAGGCCCCACCGGGATCCACGTGCTCATCAGCGATGAGGTAACGGCCTCCGGCTGCTTCCCAAGGACTTCCCTGCTCCCGGGTGATTCACATCCACTCGTTCCCCGAGTTCTGCCACCCAGGGCCCTGGCGGAGCAGGTCCCGGAGCCGGCTGGAGCAGCCCGTCGGGAAGGGCTGTGCTCACGTCATCTCCGGGTTCCAAAGGGTCGGAGACGATCCCTGAAGCCCGCAGAGCCGGGGATGTTAGGATTTGGGAATGCTGCTGTGCTAGCAGCGACACCTCAGTGAGAGCTGTGAAGCTGAGAGTCCAGGTTATTTGTGCACCCTCTTTCCACGCTCGGATTTCTCCGAGCTTTGCTATAGAAACAGAGAGGTTCTTGGGTGACTTTGCCCTGAGGAGCATCCCGGAATCCTCTCCTCACCTCTCGGCTTGCTGGTTCAGTTCTGCAGGGATGGAGGAAGGAATAAACATTTATGACCTGAGCATTTCCTCACTCCCCAAGCACTGATGACTGAACCTCTATCCCTTTGGTACTTCACATCGGTGCCCGTCGCTGCATGATGCTGCGCAGAGGAAACCTGGCCTTTGCTTAGGCTGCAGAGCACTCGGGCCGTTCCTAAATACATTTTTTGACCAAGTTGCTTTCTGTGGCTTCTTTCAGATGATCCAGAACTTCCAAGATGAATCATGTTTCGTTCTGGACACCATGAAAGGTGCGTGAGCGCGCACGGCCCGCCGTCCCGGGCACGAGCAGCTCCCCTTGCCGCGGGGATTCCACGAGCTCTGCTTCTTTTGCAGCTGAAACCAATGATAGCTACCACATCATCCTGAAATAGGAGGACGGCCACGCGGAGACCCTTCCCCGAGAGCGCCGGGACACGAGCGGAGCTCCGGGCATCGCCGGGCGCCTCCTCCGAAGACCCCGACCTGCTGCTTCCTCTTCCTCACGAGCTGCCGTTTTTGGAGCGCCGGAGCCGGCGCTGGGAATGCCCGAGAGCGGCGGAAGGGGCTTTTCCGTGGCGAAACGCGCTCCGCCTTCCCGAGAGGCATCGGCTCCCGTCGCCCTCAGACTCGCGGGCGAACGGTGATTAAATCGGCCCAAAAACTTTCTCCCTGACACGTGCTGAGCTGAGCGGGTCTCAAACGTGCTGCGTACTGCGTTGATGGAGGGGTAGGCTAGGGATGGGGGTGGGGATTTAAATTTTTTTTTGCTTTATTATTACAATGCCTCTGTTGGACAAAGGGGTGACTTGGTTTTGTCCTCTCCGGCCACCCCAGGAGCGGTGGTGACTTGGTGCCGTCGCGCTCCAACCTTCCCTTGCTAATTACAATGCCTCTGTTGGACAAAGGGGGTGACTTGGTTTTCTCCTCTCCGGCCACCCCGGGAGCGGTGGTGACTTGGTGCCATCACGCTCCAACCTTCCCTTGCTGTTGCTGAGGTCCTCAGCAACTCGGTGTCCAGATTCAATCGGTACGGCGCGTGCAGTCAGAGCAAAACGTGAAGCGAAGTGAAATCGGATTAAGTAGCAGCTCCTTAGTTTGGTCTGTGGGATTTTTCTGCATGATTTAAGGGTTTCAAAGGGAAGGAAGGAAGACGTAGGTGTCCTGGATGAAAATGTGACTCGTAGCTGCATGCGGACTTGGTTGCTGCCCCTGCATCCCCCTGGCCAAGCGCTGCTCAAGCCCTGTGTGCACTGAGAAAGAATGAGACAAATCAGAAAGGTTTGGGCAAAACTGGACGTGACAGTGACCCAAGTGCCTACGTGAAGAGGGCCGGGATGGCAGCTTGGCAGGTACCGGATCGTCCCTCCGTGTCCATAAGAGCCTGGTAGAGAACGAGATGCCCCGGATAACACCTGCATCCCCTGAGAACGTAGTGGGCAGAATGGGTAAGGAAAAAATAGATCACAAACCAGGAGCCTGATTGGAAATAAGGCTGCAGCAGGAGCCAGCACGGGGCAGAGGATGTAGGTCCCCGGGGTGAGCAGGGCCCTGGTGCATGCGACAATCCCACAGTCCCATCCCCGCTGCTAAAATCCCGCCTGCTTCCCTTTATTTATAAGCCATAAAATAACCCGTTCCCGACGTCCGTCTCCTAAAAAATTATGTGTTTTCTTTGGGGATGCAAATGAAAATAGCCCAAATGAAGGGGCACTGGCCAAGGGCCCATGGCCAGTAGCTCTCTGTGTCCGTGGTGCAAACGGGCCGACCGCAGCGTTTGGGGCAGCAGCAGAGGAATCCCCTCGTCGTGTGCTCCGAATTTTCCCGCTGACTTCCCTTTTGTTCCGTTCTCCCCGTTCGTCCACGCAAGGTGCGATGAGACACGTACAAGAGCGGTGAGGCCTTGGTAAACCTTTTCTACTCGTGTTTCCGGGTGCGTACGGAGTCTTTTAATGCATCCGATGGGAAAACGCCGGCCAAGCGCTCCGGCTCGGAGAGCTCCCAGTGGGACAAAGGTGGCAATGGGGCCGCTGCTTCCTCCTCACCGGGAAGAAGCGACTCGGAGCGGCGGATGGAGAGGGCGTTTAATCGGTCG